GTGTGTTCCATTAACCACTTATATCAGAATCACCTTGGATGGGGTTGGGAGCTTATTAAAAAGGGAGTTTCCTGGGCCTTACCCCACATCTGTTGAATCAGAATCTCTGGGGGATGGGGCTGAGGAACTTGCCTTTTGAATAAACTTCGTAGGTGATTCCTAGGCCATTAAAGCTTGCAAATCACTGCCATTATAGTCAGTGTCTTCCAGCTTGTTTACCTAACTCATTTTGAACCAAAGACTTAGGACTATTTCAAAAAATCAAAGCCACCCTTAAAGGACAAAGGCACATATGCCAGTGGTGCTGAAGATCATCTCAGGGAATGAGCTGAACAATGGATAGGCATGCAGACTTGTGGAAATGATGTTGTGGAAGGAGACAAAAGCCTTTGGCTGGTTTTGGTATGCTTGACAATGCTAGCACCTTGATAAGTCTTACTTCACACGTTAAAGGACCTTGGCTTTAACTTCCCTATTAAAAGGAAAAGAAGAAGAAAGGAGAATTGTGTGTTGGCTAGATAGGTATGATCTCTAAGGTCCTTTCTCTATTTTGTGTTCTGGTTATTCTACTGTTGTACATAAATGTTTTTTAACCAACTCTAAACACATGAATGAATATGTATAAGTAATGAGGCTTATTACTATAGCAAAAACTGCAAGCTTGGTTTGCTTTAAAGAGAAGAGCCTCCTTAAATCAAAGTGACTTCAAAAGAAGTAGTATAAAAAACAAACAACAACAACCAAAAAACACTTGGCAACCCATATTGGAAAAGTCCTATAGTACTGTTGAATGTGAATTTCTTCTGCTCAATGACCTTTCATTTTGGACAAATGGTTCACACATTATCAGAAAGACATTTAATGTGTTTAATGATTCAAGGGTAAGCAGCCAGGAATTGTGATACTGATTCTTGGTTTTAAATTAGTTAACATTACTAAACATAAATTGCAGCATTTATAATTGTACTTACTTATTTCTCAAATATCAATACCTACCCTTTCATTCTCTGAATGAAAATAAAACCAATGACTGTATTTGTCTAGTCAACAATTCTTTCATGCTGTGTCTTACTATGCAAAAAATCTTTCAGTGTTGGCCCATAGGTATAAGTTACCATTTTAATCCTGAAAATAATTATGATAAAAATGTGAAATATCATGATGCATTTAATAATGATTAAATAGCTACCAATTTTAAGGGCCTACCATATTCTAAGCACAATTCTGAGTACTTTCTGTGACTTACAAGAATATAGGTATTTTAAAGATGTGTTATTTCCAGTTTATATATGAGGTTCCTTTAAACTTATGGAAGTCACATTGAAATGCATAATCAGGAAGCCTCACACAGAGGCTTAGCAGTTTTGTAGCCTCCATTTTTTATCAAACGTGCCTCTTTACATTACCTGGTATACAGTAGGTAGGCAGTAAGTGTTTGTGGAATTTCATCACCCTCCCCCTAAATTGCTGTGTTTCTTTTTTTTTTTTAAAAGAAGATGTTGGGGGTAGGAGTTTATTATTTAATTTATTTATTTTTGCTGTGTTGCGTCTTCGTTTCTGTGTGAGGGCTTTCTCTAGTTGTGGCAAGCGGGGGGGCCACTCTTCATCGCGGTGCGCGGGCCTCTCACCATCGTGGCCTCTCTTGTTGCAGAGCACAGGCTCCAGACACGCAGGCTCAGTAGTTGTGGCTCACGGGCCTAGTTGCTCCGTGGCATGGGGGATCCTCCCAGGCCAGGGCTCGAACCCGTGTCCCCTGCATCGGCAGGCGGACTCTCAACCACTGCGCCACCAGGGAAGCCCCTTGCTGTGTTTCTTTTAGTATGTATTTTATGTTGAAGTACAGTTTAGTAAAAGTCACTGACTTACGTAATTATGAGTTTGATTGAAAGAACTAAACTATATCCTGTTTTGAATTAAAATGAGATTACTTTTTCGTATATCTGATTTATTAGTAATCCTCGTTTCCATTAGCAGGATAGAAATGATCTCTGCTTCAGAGACTGAAAATTTTACTAATGATTAATATACACTAGCCATCAGATGTTCTGTTTATTTTTCTCCCCAAACTTTAGATTAAAACCACTTTATCTTATCTTTCCAATTTTAGCCTTCTAATAACAAGAATTGGTGAATATAAGCTACTAATTATGTTTTTTCTTTTCTTTCCTTTTGGGCACGCCGGATGGCATGCAGAGTCTTAGCTCCCCTACCAGGGATTGAACCCACACCCCCTTCAGTGGCAACACAGCGTCCTAACCATTGTACCTCCAGGGAATTCCCTATATCTTGTTTCTTTACCAAGGCTAGAGTGTGAGGCTTCCCGCTCCTTCTCCCCACCACCTCCACCACGACCTACCCACCCACCCCTCCAGGGACCAGTGAGTTGCAGGAATGCAATTGCTGTGGAAATCATTTCTCCCTTCATGACACCTGACTCTGATGAACACCATATGCAGTTCGATTGACAAGTTTGGTGCTGCCACTAGATGCACTGGCACACTTTTATATCTTCACAAGGAAGAAATACCACAAATATGAGAACCACATTTGTTCTCTTAAAACAACTTGTTTTTCCCATGTTTGATTTTGCTCTAATGTTTTGAACTGGATTTTTGCTGCTGGTAGTGTGCTGCGAATGGTAACTTTGTGTTGTGAATGATCTTGAGAGGAAGAAGCAGAACCTCCCAGCCATGAGAAAGATTTGATATTTGTGTTGTGAAGTTCTTGTAAATTATAATGGAAGGAACTGACAAGTAGGAATTTTTTAATTTGGGGCTGTCCATTGGCCCTACAGGCTGTCGATGATTGCAATTTGAAAATCTCAAAGTAAACATGATCATAGGAGATTAATCAAATTAATTAAACTTTTAACAAAGTCTCTCTTCGATTAGAACAGATTGTTAGTTAAGGCCACTAGAAAACATCAGCCGGCTGTGTGATCCCTTTATATTTCTCAACTGCTTCTTAAATATTAGAATGATTTGCTAATACCTGGTAGAAAACTGATCACTGTGCTTTTTATAGTAATTGAATGGCTTAATGGTTAATGTGATGTTGAAAGCTGTACCTCCCTTGAATATGTTTCGTGTAGTTTTGAAATTTATGTTATATATTAATTTAAACCAAATAAGATACACACATTTTCATAATTATTTTCTCTTCTAGCTCATTTTCACAGAAAGGGGATTTGGGATGTACACAGTTGCCAGACAAAATTGTCTTGAAATCAAATTCTTAAAAGCACTAAGCCAACCTGCCTGCTTGCCTCCCTTCTTTTCTTCCTTCCTTCCTGACTTCTTTCCTTCCTTCCTTTTTTGGGGGTCTTCTCTTTGGCTAGTATTTAATATCACTTGTGAGGCTAGTGCTGTGATGGCCATCTACTGTGTGGTATCCACTTAATCCATTGATGTGAAAGCAACAAGGACTTATTTTCTCCCTTTTGTAGGAAATGGCATTCCAACTGTTTTTTGACATCTTTAATTTTAGAGGTTGCCAATGATCAGATCAGGGTCAAGACTGACTTCAAATATTTTAGTAAGAAGCAGAAAGAAAAATGAGATCCTAACTTTCTAGTCTCCTAATCTACACATCTCCATTGATGAATTAAAGCTATATGGGTGTGAAATTTGGTATGGAGACTTAGGCTGCTTGAGCACCTTTTATCCCATAATAGTTGTGGAATGTGAAGATCTGAATTTTCATGGGGGCACTGATATTTCATGGCCAACAATTGGTTTTTTAAAGGCCTTGTCATTTCAGATTGCCATGGGGTCCGGTTATTGCTGCTCTAAATGTGTATATGAACCTGCCTCCCAATGAACTTATTGCAGTGGTGCTAACTTGTCTTGACACTCTTGCCAACAGTTCTAGTGGCCCTGTGTGTAGTCACCGCACAGGTTTTGTGGAGGATTCAGCCTAAACTTCTGGGATGAATTTCTATGGACAAGAAATATACTGGCTTTAAAAATTAAGAGGTTTGATTCTGTTTTGAATATGGATATCAAATGAATCTGAGCACATGACATTTTAATGCCGTTTGTCTTTTCAAATAGATTTACCTTCTAATGCATGTGATGACAAGACTTTGCTCATCAGATAGAACATACATTTCAGAGGAGTTGTTACCTAAAATATTATCATAAGGCATAAGAAAACACACGATTTAAGTTGCCTTTCATGAACATAATTAAGAATTAATAAGCCAGTACCAGTGGCTAGTCCCCAGAATTTCCACTGTTTTGCCTTTTGTGACCTGTGTTATTAAAAGTCCATTATTTTTACAGACTTTATTAAATTGGATCTTATTAAAGCATTCTATATTTGCATTTGGTCTTTCATAATTCATTATTATTATGACATTTACTTTTTACCATCAGATCTGAAAACATATCATAAGCTACCCTTTTCTCTTGAAAGAAATGCTAATTTCAAACAGTCCTCTAATAGAAGAGAAAAGCTTTATCAGTTTTTTCATTTATTCCAGATCGTGTTAAGAATACTAATGCTAGACTTCAGTATGCTAATATCTCTGAGCTTTTTTTGGTCAAAAGCTTAGAATTATTATTTTTATCCCATACCAAGTATGAAACTAGAAGACCTCCTACTACTGGAGAAAACACAATTCTAAAGTACAATTCTTGATTCTAAGGACTTGTGAAAATGTTGCTAGATCCTGTTTAGACTAGGATGATGCCGGTTAATTTAACTTTTACCACCTGATATTTGTCCTCTTTAAGAAATTTTTCCTCTTAAAATTCATTTTGTTTGTTTTTCTCATAGTTTAGGGTAATATAGGGTGTGTGGCCTGCTTTTCTGTAGGATAATCATTTCTATACCATTTATGATGTAGTTGAAAACTTAATACAGTAATATTTTACATATTGATATCAGACTGTCTAATTTTAATATAGCTAATAAAACACAATGAATTTTTTCTTAGCGTAGTGATAAATTTATTAAACTCTGAAATGAAACTAACTTTGGATTTTGTATCATTTTAGATTTCTGACAATGTGCAATAGACACTTTGGCAGCGTTGTTGCACAAACCATTCGGACTCAAAAAACAGATCAGTTTCCACTTTTTCTGATTATTATGGGAAAGCGATCATCTAATGAAGTGTTAAATGTGATACAAGGTAAAGTACATATCACAAGGGAAGTAGAGTGTCTCCTTATGTATGTGATAACCTTGTAATATTTACCATCAAAGCTGAAAGTAATTCTCTATTGGTGAATATCTTTGCATTTTAAAATATAGAACACCCGGAAAAAGAATATCTTCAAAAAGTATAGGTGCGGGCTTCCCTGGTGGCGCGGTGGTTGGGAGTCCGCCCGCCGATGCAGGGGCGCGCGTTCGTGCCCCGGTCTGGGAGGATCCCGCGTGCCGCGGAGCGGCTGGGCCCGTGGGCCGTGGCCGCTGGGCCTGCGCGTCCGGAGCCTGTGCTCCGCAATGGGAGAGGCCGCGACAGTGAGAGGCCCGCGTACCGCAAAAAAAAAAAAAGTATAGGTGCTATGAAATATGCTTCATGAAAATCCAACAGAAACATCTTAATAAAACTGCACAGCCCTTGGGACATAGGATAATCATGTTAAATATTCAGAACTGCTAAATTTTCTAAACTAGAAATTAAGCCATAATCAGTCATCAAATACGATATTTCATTCATACACACACACACACACACACATATATATTTCTTGCTGTAACGTTGATTGGTTGAAGGAAATCCTTATCTTTAGTTATCTGGAAAAACCAGTGACTGGATATTGTGAATTGAATAGTTCACAGTGGCAGTCGTTTCTCCTCATTTGTGTGAATCCACGTCTAGAATGCAACCCTGAGGTGTGAAGCTATAGGATGCCTGTCAATTTAATCACAGTGCACACATTCTTTACCCAAAAAATGAGTGATATTTTTTATGTTACTAATGTAAGGATTAGTATAAAAAATTCCTTTATACATGGCAAAGCTTACATTGAAAACAGTATCTTTTCTATGCCACAGGGAAAAGGATGTTTCAGATGCTCCAAACTAAAGCTTGTGTCTGAGATACTTAATTTCTGCCCCTATTTAAGTCACAAGTTCTGTAGCAGATAATGTAATGGAGGAAGGGGTATAAATTCAAGTGCCTTTAAAACTCAAATAAAACAAAACCTCTGGTATTTTATGTTTTCTCTATAGCTAGAGCATTCACTTTCACAAACAATGTTAAAGAAGACCTGCTGCGGGAACAAAATGCATAGAGTAAATAGATAATGAAGATAATATTTCTTTCCTGTTATCATATTAATTAATCATATTAATTAATTTCATATTAATTAAGATAATATTTCATTCCTGTTTGCTGTAATATTTCCAGCAATATTACAGTCAGTAGTGGTTCTCAAAGCATGGTCCATGGACCCTAGAGGTCCCCTAGATCCTTTCAGGGAATCTACAAGGTCTATTTTTGATAGACTCTTTTTTTGCTTTTTTTTTTTACTGTATTGACATTTGTACTAAGTGGCACAAAATCAGTGCTGTGTAAAACTGCTGGCATCTTAGCACAAATCAAGGCCATGACACAGAACTGTACTGGTAGTCATATTTTTCACCTCCATGTATGTGCATTTTTTAAAATTATTATTTTATTAATTTTTAACCGTCTTTATAGTTTGTGTGACGCAATGGGCAGACATTTCTCCAGGATGAACAAAGTGAGTCTGTTACTTCAAGAAAAAGAACTGACAACATTTGTTGCCAATGATAAAATTTGAGTTTTTAAGCAAAAAGTTATATCCTCCATTTAAGATTGACAGCTTAAATACTTTTCTGGTGATGTCAATGGTGATGATAATAAATGTGATTTTTTTGATATCATAAAATTAGATGTGTCAACATTCAGAAGAAATGCATGACTCCGTGAACCAATATTTTCCAAATGACCAATGCATAATGTTATAAACTCATGCATGAGTAAAAGATCCATTCAAAGGGCAAAATAGACCAGTGGATTTTAATATAACAAAGTACAATAAGTTCATTGATAACGGTTTCAAATTCCTCACATACCTAACCTTGAAATAAATTCCACTTGTCAGTTTGGGTGTATTAAAGAAAAATATCTACAATTATCTATTAAAATACTCCTCCTTTTTCCAACTATATATCTATGTGAGGCCATAATTGCTTCATAAATTTCAACCAAGACAACACATTATAGCTGGTTTAATGTAGATATAGATATGAGAATCCAGTTGCATTTTATTAAACCAGACATTAAAGAAATTTGCAAAAATGTTAAAAAAAATAACATTCTTCTCACTGAACTTTTTCGTTTGGAACATATAGTTATTTTTCATAAATGTGATATTTATATTAACAAATTATGGGTGGTTTTTTTTTTGATGTTGGGGGTAGGAGTTTAGTAATTTATTTATTTATTTTTGCTGTATTGGGTCTTCGTTTCTGTGCGAGGGCTTTCTCTAGTTGTGGCAAGCGGGGGCCACTCTTCATCGCGGTGCGCAGTCCTCTCACTATCGCGGCCTCTCTTGTTGCAGAGCACAGGCTCCAGATGCACAGGCTCAGTAGTTGTGGCTCACGGGCCTAGCCACTCCGTGGCATATGGGATCCTCCCAGACCAGGGCTCAAACCCGTGTCCCCTGCATTAGCAGGCAGATTCTCAACCACTGCACCACCAGGGAAGCCCCAAATTATGGGTTTATTATTGTTACTTTTAAATGAATTGATAAATATGTTTTAGAAATTTCAGTTTTAATTTCTAACACAGTAAATGTTGGTAACCATAACCCACATAAAAATTCTTCAGGGATCTCAATAGTTTTTAAGAGTATAAAGAGGTTCTGTTGCAATAGGCTATAAAAAATAAATTTTCCCTGAACTGCATTAACTGGAACCTTTCTCCACCTTGGATCATTAAGGGCTTAGGTATAAAATACCTTCAAGTACAGTTTGGCAATGAGCCTGTATAGTTAGGGCTGAAGCATAGTTGATAAGCAGTGGCTTTAAGCCTGAAAATTAATGACCAGTGTGTAGTACCTGTAAAATTATACTATTTCCCCATTGATGATTCTAGTACCCTCCACAAAGTATTCATGCCCCATACTCGTTGTTAGTCACTACAGTTTACAAATAAGAAATGGAAACCCAAAGATTTGCCTGGTAACAAAATCTACGTTGAAGGTTCTCTTATTAAACTTTTTGCCATTTGTTATATCTGTTAATAATAACTGTCAGTGATTGTGTGTGTGCTATGTACCAGGCACTTTACATTATCTCTGATCCTTCTAAGAACCCTACAGAGGAAGTGTTATCTTCATTTTGCAGATAAGGAAATTGATCGTTAGAGAGCTAAAGTCACTCCCTCTTCTCTTATTCATTTGTTTACTAAGTGAATATTTATTAAGCCCTTGTCATGTGCTAGGCAATTTCTAGGTACCAGATCATGTAGTTATAAGTAGCAGAACTAGGGTTAGAACTCTGACTACAAAACCAGTTCTGCTTTCTTGGTAACATGATATCACACCAAGATAATACTTGTTCTCTAGCTCATTTATTGAGAGAGTAGTGCTGATGTGACCAAATTAGATTATTTCTTTGGCTAAGGACCGCAGCTGCTCCCTAACTGCATGTTGCCAGTGGTCATAAGGGAAACTGGGAAAGGACCATTGAAAGATTATGTTAGTCAAACCCTACTCTGGAAGAATACAGAAGAATGTTGTCTCGTTGGTGGCCATTCCATTAACGGGACAAGAAGACACCTTCTCAGGCCCTGGAGAAGACAGGCTCTTTTGCCTGTAGGTTTGAAAGAAAAGAAAAATTGCTATATCTTTATGTATCTTCATGAGTTTCCTTCTCTCTTGTAGATGCATCCAAAGCAAATAACAGAACTTAATGCATGCAAGAAATGGCATATATTTGCTATATGTTTGTTACAAACTTGGACAGGGATAAAATAGCATTCAAGAAAATCAAACATTACAATACCTTCTCTATAAAGATTATAGCATAGTCATTTGAAAGCAGCTGAAAGGGAAAAATATCAGTTGGGAAAAAAAAAATTTTTTTTTCAGAAATTGAATTACTGCTTGTTTCACCAAAGAATTTTTAGTGATAGGAGATAATTCTAAGTAAACAGTATGCTAAGATGGCAAAGGAGACAGGCTTCTGAGTCAGACTCATATGGTTTCAAATCCTGGCCCTATAACTTAACCAACTTGACGTTGGTTAGTCAGGTTACTTGAGCTCTCTAAGCCTCATTTTCCTTCTCGTTACACTCAAAATTATAATAACACCTTCATAGAATTGTTGTACAGATTAAATGAGATTTTATATCTATAAACCTAATCACTTAATGTAATTTGTTTGGCATATAAACAAATGGTAGTTGTTGCTAGCGTTATTAAGTAGATACGTTTTCCTAACTTGAAAGATACTTTGATCCTCATGACTTGGATATTCTTCTTGTAGTGCTGAAAGTCCTGCTTATTAAGTAAGAGACTGTTCCCTCAAATCTAAGTATTCTGAAATTTTAATTGCCAGTATACTGCTTTGTTCTCTTTCTGAAAATATGAAACTTTTCAGTGAAAACATGAAAGTTTTTATTAGCATGCCAGTCTGTAATTTTTTTAGACTGTAGTTATTCCTTACTGATTAATTCTAGAATGACTTTCCATTTTATAATGATTTTAATGTGAAGTTTGGCTATCTCCATGTGTTGCTAGGTAACACAACAGTGGATGAGTTAATGATGAGACTCATGGCTGCAATGGAGATCTTCACGGCCCAGCAACAGGAAGATATAAAGGATGAGGTAAGGTGAAAGGTTAAGTAGACCTTTAATAGGATTTTGTTGAGATGATTTGTCAAATGGTGATGCTTGCCTATGTCAAGATGGATAAATAAGGCATTGATGAAGATGTGTTTCCACATGAACGAAGGGTTTTTATGCCACTGAATTTACCTTTCAGTCCATTCTTTTCATGACCCAAGACCCAACAATTTGTTTAACTTTATGGACATTTATACTTTGCTAGATTTGATGGCAGGAGGTCAATTTACAGGAAACGAATTCTGAAGCATGTTTACAGAAGAAACTACAGTGCAGGAAATCCAATCTATTATATGGGTTTTTCACTCACTTTTAAGGTCCTCTTACTCTTTTTAAGTATTGAGATTGATTAGCAATAAACACATTTTACACTTGAACATATTTTTGAAGCACTGTGAGAATTAGTAAAAAGATCACCAGAATTCTGAATTTAGCAGTCTCCCGAACATATTTAGATGGTATAGATGAGATGAGCATGGAACCTCAAATAGAATAATAACAGCAATATTCATAATGACAATAGTAGTCAACACTTACTGAATATCTGTAATGTACTAGGCACTACGCAAAGCACTTTACATTTATCATCTCATGTGATCCTCAAAACAATCCCTTGAGGCTGCATATGAGTCAGAGTTCTGGCTAGAAACAGATGACACTTTCAAACTGGGTTGTTTGAAAAGAGTTTAATAAGGGAACTATTTATGAAGATATGGGCAGAGTTTATGGGAGTCAACAATGGATAGTACACTCTAGGGCTAAAGGAAGCCATTGCTACCCTTAGGCCTAAAGGCCTAGGAGAAGGTGGTATATGAAGAGGATCGCTTCTATTAGAGAGAGATAGCCAACCCTTGGTGAACTGGTAAGGAAGAAGCTAAGGAATAGCTTCCCTTTCCTTTTATACTGCTGGTACCTCCTATTGACCTAACCCAACTAGAAACTGAAAGGCAGGCAAGTGAACCTCCCTGGGCAAAAAGCTAGGTACAGCATGGATACTGAGGGGCAAATGGAACATAATCCAACACAGATTGGTATTGTCATCTCTACTTTTCAGATGAGAAAACTGAGGATCAAAAAGTTTAAGTTAATTTACCCAAGGGTCACACAGCTAGTAGGATCTATAATAATCTCAAGTAATTATTAGTGCTTTATCAGTCAAGAAATTCCTGGATTTGGAAAACAGTCTCAAGATAAAATATGAAACAAATCTTATCATTTATTAATTTGAGATGCTAAGTTTGTATATCCATCAAATTATTCTTTTTAATTTTCTCTTTGTTTTTAATTTTTAAAGAAAGATTTACATAGAACAAATAAAGGAGAGTTTGATTTCTGAGCAATGATGAAAAGTTTCCGCGTATAATGAGTGTTTTCAATACAATACTCTTTAGCTATTACAAATGGGAAAAACATAAACAATTTCCATTTAACCTTGTACTGTTGTATTTAACTTTATTTACTTGTCTCTGTCTTCTACTAGACTGTGAGTTAAAGAGCAAGGGTTGTATCGTATTCATGTTTGTAACTCTGTCTTCTAACAGTGTACCTAGGACAACGTAGGCACTCAAAAAATGTTTGTAAGTGATTGAATAAATGAATAGTTGAAAGAATTTACATGAAATAATATGACTTGAAAAAATAATACTTGATTACAATGATATAAAACCTGATGTATCCACATTAACAAATATGAAAATTCTGAGCACTATACCTAGAGTTTTAATACTGAGTAGATTCCTTTTATTGCTGTAAAAATGTTGTTTGTAATTTTTCTTAATAGTGTTTCATTTACTCTGAGGGAAAGGTAATCGGGTATATGGTAGAATGGTGTTTATCTGTTACTTTATAAATTGACACTGACATTTTGAAATAATGAAGTACTGTACTTAGTTAGGAATTTGTAATAATAGGTGTGTTGCCATTCAAGATTACATTTATCCTGGAATAGAGGCATTGATTGACAATAATTCACTAAACACATTCTTCAGCCATTTAAATCTTGAGTCTCATTAGTACTCGATTTACAGATTATGCTGTATAATAATATGAATGCACAATATTTGCATGCATATTCCCAGTTCATTCTTTCATTTTAATTTGTGTTCCTCATAATTCATTGGTAAGAAAATTGACTTTAATTCGTTTAATACTGAGCACAAAACTTAATATGAGGGTTACAGGAAAAATCTAAGACTCCGTATAATTGAAATTTTTTATTGAAATTTAACTGCAAGAGATAAAAGATTTCTCTTTGTTTTTGTTTTTAGAGTGTCTTATGAAAGTTATCTTTCAGGTCATAAGTAGAGTTCCTAAGAAAAGCTTTTCTAAGTTTAAAAACTTCTTTTAGACTATGCACAGATCATGATTTGGTATCTGCTGAGTAAGTGATAAGAAACACTGTCCCTTGTAATTGTGAATTTAGCTTTACTTTATAAAAAATTTCAAATAAGACTTAAGCATACAGTTAAAATTAAATTGTGAACATGTTTGAAGGATGGCTTCCTAGGCCTGAATTTATTTAAACTTATCTTTGGTTCAGTTACGTCCGTCATTTCAATGATACCATTGTATTAGTGCAACCAGAGATGCCTATATTACATAAAGCTTTTATTAAATAAAACCAAGCCCAAAGCATATTCATACTCTGAGTCATTCTTCAATGGCTCAGAATGGGCTAACCTTTTTATCGCTAATTGTTCTGTCTCTAACCAGGAAGTATAAATTATGTATGAGCCTCTGTTTTGACAGAACTATCTCCATATAGATTTATTCATAGACATTTTTATTAATGGTATTAGTTTGGTTTTATAAGTGTTTACTGAGCATCTATGAAGAATATAGCACTGGGCTAGGTCCTGGGGACAGAGAGGTGCTTTGCTCTAGTGAGGGGCTATTTGCAAAGAAGGGATGAGGAGAAAAGCAAATATCACTATATGACAGTGGCCACATTTTAGCATCTGCTTTTGATTACAGCTTGGTTCCAAACAATAGATGCTTTCTAACATGTAAATGGAGTCAGTTTTTTCATATGCACTATTTTTTTAGCCGTGAATAATCTCAAAACCTCTGATTATCAAGAGTTTATTATATTTAGCTCTTGATCTGTTTGTGGTTTAATTCATTTGTTCATTCATCCATTCAACACTAATTTACTTAGAATCCTCTATCGTAGGTGCAAGAATTACCCCTTTCCAGCCTAACCACTCTGATTAATTTGTATCTAAACAATATCTCTGTAATTGTCAAAACCCAAATGTTGGAGATCAGGGCAGATTTCAAGGTCAGGAACAGCATTCTCATTTCTTTGGTAATGGTAAGAATATACTAGTGGAACATGGGCAACACATGCCAGAGGGGCCTTTTTAGGCTTACCCTTTAAGGATTCTGATTTGAGACTTAAAAACAGTACTGCCACAGCACAGAGAGGGTAGGTTTATTGGCTCAAGGCAGCTTTTTGTGTTGCCAAAGGAAATTGTTGGCTTTGTGTTTGCCCCATGGAATGTGTAACTTTTTTGTCCTAAGTTTTGTCTTTATCTTACTGTTTGAAGCACTGAACTCCTTTTCCTTTCATCTGTTTAAAATCTCACCATTGTCATACCCATTCTCTTTCCAGAACTAACAATGATAAACAGGATACAGATTCTGGCTTCTGTTGATGTTTTCTTTAAAACAGGAGTAAGTCATCACAAGATAGAGAATAAAAACAGTATCTTTGTGCAAAAACTAAAGCAAAACATATACAACAGACCAACCTTTAAAAGGATCTTTCACTATTAGGCTTCTTTAAAAATATATCTGGACTACTTCCTGAAGCTAGCAAGAATAGTATCAATAGTTTTGTTAGGAGAGTTTTCCCTGATATAGCTATGTATAAATCTATATGTGAGATTAAAAACAAAAACAAAAGTCAGTATTTTTAAACATCAGAATTTCACTGAAAGTGTAAAAGTCAGAGAAGATCTAATACCCAGAAGTAACTTTAAGGAAGAAGAGCTAATTGAGTTAACTGTTAATGATTCGAGCACTAAATGGATAGCTGAGAATACCATAGATGGCTTTCTGTAGTTGGTTGCTTTCTGCTCACAAAAGGGTGGTTGTTTTTTTGTTTTTTGTTTTTTTTTTTGAGATATCATTGACATATAACATTGTATTATTTCCAGATGTACAATGTTAATGATCCAATATTTGTATATATTACAAAATGATCACCACAATAAGTCTGGTTAACATCCATCACCACACATAGTTATAATTTTTTCTTGTGAAGAGAATTTTTAAGATCTACTCTTAGCAACTTTCAAATATACAAAACAGTATTATTAACTGCAGTCACCATGCTGTCCATTACACCCCCATGACTTAATTATTTTATAACAGGAAGTCTGTACCTTTCAACTAACTTCATCCATTTTACCCACCTCTCAATCAGCCACTCCAGCCCGCTCACGCTGATCTCTGCCAACCATCAATCTTTTCTCTGTATCTATGAGCTTGATTTTCTTTTTTTTTTTAGATTCCACATATAAGTAAGATTATGTGGTATTTTTCTCTGACTTATTTCACTTAGCATAATGTTCTCAACGGTCCATCATGTTGTCAGAAATGGCAAGACTTTCTTCTTTTCTATGAATGAATAAGATTCCATTACACACACACACACACACACACACACACACACACACACACACCACATTTTCTTTATCCGTTTATTCACTGATGGACATTTAGGTTGCTTATATGTCTGAGATGTTATAAATCATACTGCAGTGAACATGGAGGTGCATATATCTTTTCAAGTTAGTGTTTTTGTTTCCTTCAGGTAAGTACCCAGAAGTGGAATCTCTGGATCATATGGTAGTTCCATTTTTAATTTTTCTGAGGAAGCTCTATACTGTTTTCCATAGTGGCTGCACCAATTTACATTTCTACCAACAGTGCAGAAAGGTTCCCTTTTCTCCACATCCTCGTCAACACTTGTTATT